CTAATACCTTTCCACTGCATCAGAAACTAAGTATCTGTCTCGATACCCGAGAGAGAAGATGGCCAGCCAGGAGGTCGTGCCAGTTATGCCGTGCATATCCTGAATGCGTACACTGAAAGATGTAGTATATAAAACCAATAAACACAGGCCGAGACTAGCTAATGTGCTAGAATGCCTGATTTGATACCAGTACCTTCCAGCCTGCCAAGCACTGCCTTGTCTATGATGAATGCACCTTCTTGGTCGGTTTTCCAAAGCCTACTTCGAGGATAAAAAAGATTCGAATAAGCGCAAAAGCAGCCGTACCGTAAACGTTGGTCCAGTCCTTCGCCGACATGGTCGCCATCGACCAACTATGAGGCGGATTTCTCATTTCCCAAATGCTGCAAAGGATCATGAGATCCATTGCGCAAACAGCCCCCTGGCAGATCTTCCAGATGTTTAGATCGTTGGTATAACGTAGAAGACCACCTTGCATGGCGCTAATAACCACGTATCCTCCTGCGACCTGCCATAGCCATGGATCATAGGCTTCCACTCGTGGTGAAAAGAGCGGGGAAAGCTGTGCGAGCATGAAGTCGCGTTGGAAGATGAGGGCGTAAGCTGTTCCGGAAGCGACAATAGGATCGACCCAGGTGAATACACCGCGGTATAAGGATGGAATAGACTTTATGGTTGCCATGATAGTTCTGATGAGGTTTTTAGAGACGCTATTGAAATTGCTGAGCGTGTTGTGTATTGAGAGGAGGAAGTGTTGTCTGTCTGGGGAGGGGTCGGTGCTAAATACTGTAGGAATCTAGGTGTAAGCTGACATCAGACCTACAGTAAAATCAATAAGCCAAGACCGGGGTTACGGCCGCAGGAATGCGGCCTACCGCCGTCCAAAAACCGAGTCATCCAATCACCGCCATTGGCGAAGTAAGCTTATGTATACCCGGGCATCATTACAACCACCGTCTAGTCTAAGTTCTTTAATTCTCCACTACTCGACACTTACCATATCCTAGAATGAATGTATGGGAAAATGTGTTTACGATAGTATAGGCTTTCAATTGTGACTCGATTCAGTATTAGGCCCCTGGATTCTATCCTGTGGAATGGGAGTCTTTTGCTGACTTTCAGAAACTTGGCGCTTAGTATGTCGAAGATGGTGATGCCTCTTCAAGTTGCAGGATTATGCTTCTAGTCTTTGTTTTTGGGAATTTAATCTGTGTATGGCATGTTGCTTGTAACCTCGGTGTGGCATATAAGACCTGTGGTTGACGGGAATAAGAACCTCCATTCTGTGATAAACTCTAAGTTCAAAACTGCCCTTTGATTCTGTAGTTCAAATATCGATCCTAACATCATGATTGAACCAACATACCCAATATACCTCGATGGTATCTGTGAGTCTATTCAGGTGACGGCTCAAAATAACCCTATCCCTACCGGAACAGACGCACCACGCTTAGACGTGTAGTCTAGAGATTTATCCCCTGTGAAAAGTTATCACCAGCATTATTAAAGTTCTACAGGTATGCGCTGAGAACCACAAGGATATGGACCGTCTAGTAAGTGAAGCTTTTGGAACGGGATCAGCCTATGGACTAACTAAGTGGAGCACTATACAATTACTGGAGGGCAAAAATATGATCATGCTGGGGATCGAACCCAGAATCTTCTGATTCGTAGTCAGACGCCTTGCCATTGGGCCACACGACCGTATTCGATTGTTGAGCATCCAGCTTCGCAACAGCCTCTCTGTGCGACACCGAGTTCGCGACGACGATGCTCTTATCCATAGAACGAGCAAATTGTCAAAGCTGCATGTCAACTTCGTAATTGATCGAACGGTTTTAAGTTCATTAACCCTGGAGAGTGGCTTGCCATACAATTCTGTCACGGCATAATAATGCATACATACATATTTGGCGGCGTAGCTGTACTAATGCAGAGTGCGGATAGCTTCGCTACCTCTTGAACATAACAGAAATGGCACCCAAAAGCCGTTCAGAAAGCACATTTGTTATTTTCATATTATAATAGTACCTACACTACTCGTTATTCCACTTCAGTAACTTCTCCCCTCGACTCTGCCGCCATCTATTTGTAGTCTCTATAAGCTCAGGACAGCCTTGAAGCAGCCAACCCCATTTCCTCAGAAACCAAGGCGACGCCTCCCAGGAATTCGGCACAGACGAATCTCCCCATACAATCAAACTTGGCTTCTCAACGTTTTCCCAGTTGATCTCCGATATATCCTCACACAGTTCGCCATCGTCCAGTAACTCCGCATCCGCCGCTAGGATCACATTATCTCTGAACTTAGGGAAAGGAAATATGTCGAGCCATGGGTGATGCAACACCGTCTTCTGCACCTCTGTAGGCTCAAGTGCCTTTGGAGGATTATAATCTGCACCAAAAGGCCCATTGATGTTGAAAGGCGATATAGCTTCATCAATGCACATAAGCGCCCGGTCAAATCCCAGTATTGTAGCGTTATTGGCAACTGCTATAGTAACGTTGAGACTAATGAGAAGCGGAAGTTGCGATATCCGAGGGGCGTTCATGGTATAGTCCATATAGGTCTTGCACGCGACGGCGAATACTCTTTCGCTCTTATCAGGTCTCTCATAAACTTCGCATGTTCGACGGATGACTTCAAACATGGCATCTGGTGGACCTTGCAGAGCAAGTGCTATTGATGGCATCGATTCGGCGGGTAGTCCAGCTTGGCCGACGATATTGGAAGCAAGCCGGTTTTGTTCCTGTTGATGACGCTTTCTGAGATCTGCCAAGAAAACAATATGTAAGAATCTTTCTCGGAGAGCAGGCTAGTAGGGTGCACTCACATTGTGACCTCTTGTTCAGCCGGTTCTGCAGCTTTCGCCGCTGTGCAGTGCTAGTGACCCCGGTCCAGTCCTCCCCAGGTTTCTGGACAAGGAGCTGCTGGGCCATTGGTTCAATGGCAATCTTTTGTGGATCAGACATCCTGGTGTATATGCCGGCTGCTGATAGATCGATGTGTACGATTGATTATGAGAGAATTATGTGATACCTTTTGAGAAGTGATGGGATAAATCAGGGGAGAAAATTGCTGGCATCTGGAGGCGTCATCATGGCATGCACGTGAAGCCTTCAATCGGAACGGAAATGCCTAACTCCACTCTGTCAGCAGGTTGCATTAGTGCGTCTACTAAGGGTATAGTTTGATTCATCGGGCTCATCATTGGATGAGTTCGATAGCCGGGGAAGTCGGTCCGATGAGGGTCGCAAGAGCTTGAGGTTTGACGATATCATCAACTCGCATAAGTCCGCATTGGGCATATGACGAATAGTGGCTATTTACTGAGAAATTGATGTATAAGATTCAATGGCATGGTAGATCAGTAGCTCTGTAACCCAAATTTCATCAACTTATGCTCGCCAGCACCTTCGCAGCGCCCAAAGCAATAACATTTGAGCTTTGACATAATTTTACAGATACGCACACAATCTATCTCCAGCATGCCTCCATATTATATCTCGCCCCCCGTAAACTGCAATATCGACTTCGAAAAAGGTCAAATTGCTGGAAAAGTTGCCATAGTCACTGGAGGTCAGTATCGCCGAAATTCAGGGAATAGTATAGGTTAGCTAACATCTCAGGCGCAAATGGCATTGGGGAGGCTTATGTACGGGCCCTACACAGCTCAGGGTACGCGCAATCCATAAGACTCTACAAGCTATGAATGCTAATACGGATCAGAGCCAAAGTTGTAATCGGCGATAAGAATACCGAATCTGGCGAGAGACTGGCTTCCGAATTGACTGGCGCGAAATTCATCACGTGCGATGCAACTGTCTGGGAAGATCAAGTTCGATTGTTCAAGGAGGCCGCCCAGCTATCTTCTTTTGGCAAGATTCACTACGTGATAGCCAACGCAGGGATGACGAAAGAAGACCAGACTTTCACTTTTGATGGTAAGAACTCTCTACCTACCGTGCCTCACGCAGTCTCTCATACCATTTTGCGCAGGAAAAGACCAGGAACCTCAGAAGCCAGACTTGCAGACCATTGATGTGAACCTGAAGGGTTCGCTTTATACTACCAAATTAGCCATGCACTATTTCATATCCCAAAATGGCACCGAAGTCAACAAGGACCAAGAAGATACCTGCTTGATACTCATCAGTTCAGGTGCAGGTTTCCTCGATGTTCCCAGATCTCTAGAGTACAGCAGTACTAAGTGGGCAGTCCGCGGAATAATGCGTGCTTTGCGAAGGATGGCATTCTACTACGGTAGCCGAGTGAACGTCATCGCGCCATGGTAGATCACTCTTCATTCCGGGGCACTTCGTTCCTCTGACTGATTCGTTCTGCAGGTACATACGAACTGGTATTCTCTCCAAAGATCAATTCGACCAAGTTGAGAAATCAGGAGTTGAGTTCGCAACGGCTGACGATGCTGGTGAGTGCGCGCTGAGGATCCTGTCTGATACCAGTATCAACGGAAGGACGCTATTTGTGTGCGCGCGGAAATGGGCTCCTCGTGGATACATGGATCTCAATATCGAGGATTATCCTGAAAGTTTGATCCAGGAGATACAGGAGGATCAAATGAGAAATGCCCCGGTTGACCTTGGGCTGTTCCCGTGAGACGGCTTGCAGATGTACAAAAGTCTAGAACACAACAATCATCTTTCAGCCCAGGGAGGGGTAAAAGTAACACGTTGGAAGTACCAAAGTCGGCTGAGCAACACCCGTCACTGGTTGGACAGCGCCAAACTGCAACCCTCCATCAGAAGATTGAGCTGAGCACTAGCACCAAACTATTGGTCTTTATTTCAGTTAGCGCTTTTTAGTGACCTGTAGCCGGGCGTTTTGCCGTGTCTTGGAACTGCGGCTGAAAATCGCCTTATAGAGCCTTGTGCGAACCAGAATGATAAGAAAGCCTTGAAGTACCCGATCATGGCACAACAATCGATAGCATTTCCCTCAATCTCAAGTCTCATTTTCTACTGCAGCTCAATTCTGCATGTATTTCATCATGGACGACGACCTATGTGCAAAGTGCGAAGAAAGGCCAGGCGTTGTCCGCTGCTCTTGTGGTGAAAGGTTCTGCGAATACTGTTTTTCTAAGAAACATCTACAACGCAACCCAACCCATAAACGCGGTGGTTCGAAGAAAACCGAGAATAAATGGAATAAGATCAAAGGAGCAGTTTCTGACATCGCGAGTTCGTTTTCTCCCGCCTCGGACTTCCAGAGGGATGAGACCAGTAAATGGTTCGGCCTACATATCTCGTCACCACCTGGACGCAAGGATCGTATTGCGACCTTGGTTGAGACCACGCGATTATCGAGCCTTTTGGAGGAGTCCCTTCATTTTGATAAGCACAGCCCCAAGCGACAGTATCCCAGTATTTGCTCATTTGTTGGTGATACTGGTGCAGGAAAGTCAACTCTGAGTATGTTCCCGCCATTCTTCACCTCAATCTCATGGTAGGCTGATAATGAAATGCAGTCCGAAGTCTGATCTTTGACTCCGAGTGGGCATTGGATTTTGATCCCCTTGACGCCCCAGTTCCTGGAGCCCAGACTGGATCTTCTGCCATTAGATCGACCACTGGAGAGGTCAATCTTTACCTTGACCCCTCGACCTTTGGTACTGTCGCACCAATGTTCTATGCAGACTGCGAAGGCCTTCTGGGGACTGAACCTCTTGCGGCAGAGCATCAGACTGAATGGGCAAGATACGGACAGCGATACCTTATTGAATCCAAGGATGGCAAGCCGGTGGACCGACGAACGGCTGTCAAGACAATTTATCCTCGCTTTCTGTACATCTTCAGCGATGTCATTTGCTATGTCACCAGAAACCACAGAGCGTGGGCTGAATCTGCCTTGCGGCTTCTGGACTGGAGCAAGGTTGGTGTTCAGAACATCATCAATCAACATGCACTACCTGCCTTGATCATCGTTCTTAACGGGCCTACTTTGGAGAATGAGGCTTGGCTTGGGAATGACTATGAAGTTGTCACGGATGCTTTCTTCCAGGCCATTGAGAAGGAGATAAGCGAGACCACTGAGTTTCGAGAACTTGCTCAAAAGGTTCGCATCTTCAATTAATCAGAAAGACTGCCTCATTGGACTAACACACTTCTAGCATGGAGACAAGACAATGAGGCAGCTGTTTGCAAGGAGCTTCTCTAGGGTATACGTTCACTACATCCCACTCGAAGGCTTCGGATCTCTCGGGACTAGTCTAGAAATCATCAACCAGACCACCTGCTTGGCAAAGCGAGTCAGAAGAGATGCAGAGCGCGTTCAGGCCCAGAGAGCCGAGTCCTGGACCCGCTTCGACACGACGCAGATGTCACAGGTAGTGCATTATGCATTCGCCCATCTCGCATCTGGAAGCTCAGAGCCGTTCGACTTTGGCCAGTGCCGGCGGCAAATATCGGTTCCGGATACAACGGAGAGTCACTTCTCGGATTTCCTTGGCTTGTCGCTTGATAATAAGATGGAGGCGCGGTTCAATGATACGGCTGCTGTTATCGCGACGAGCTTGTTGAGGAACTCCTTGAGTGCGAACAAGGATGGTATGCAACTCTAGCCTCTTTATTTCAATGACTGACATTTTATCTTGTTGTATTAGATATCGTGCTCCTACCCTCCGTCGTCTTTAACAAAGACACCCAAGCAATCTGCACACGGGCCATCGGTCAGTTCCTGGATCATAAATCGCCATGCGCATACATTGACCCCGACTCTGGCGAAAAATGCGTAAACACAAAGTCGGGTCATATTATAGGCCACCAGAGTGCATCAGGCGATCTTTTGAGCGATGGCAACTTTGTAGTTGGTGACTTTAACTCTGCCAAGTTTCTGCTCGCGGTCGAGTCAGCACTTCACGCCACCATGCGAGCGATCAACTCAAGTGGCCCCTCCAACCATTGCGACTGGCGACGCCTCGCCGCTGTTCATCATCGTTGGAACATTGGCGCCCTGAGACGACAAGGTGGCTATCCAGCATTCCATGCCGATGATAACTCCAGGAAAGAACTATTAACACTTCCAAAGCGGGTTTTGTCTTTTTTGGCGGATTATTGGAGTCGTAGAGCATTTTGCCTCGGTTGCCTCTTCGGAAGACCAGAATATGGTCTTCCCTGCCACCATGTCATCTGCGAAACATGCGTGGAAGATTTCGATGATACCGCTGTGGAAAAGCGATATCCGGGGCGGGTTATGCATCAAAGCTGCATAATTTGTGATAGTTCATCATCTGACAAGTGGCCGTTCATCACTATCATCAGACCGCCACTTTGCGGTCTTCGTGTTCTGTCGCTGGATGGAGGAGGCGTCCGGGGTGTCGTTGAATTGACGGTCTTGAACCGTTTGGAGAAAGAGATCGGGCTTGGAATTCCGATTGGGAGTTTCTTCGATCTTATTGTTGGTACAAGTACAGGTAAGCTTCACAAATTAGACGAGGAAGTTGTGTAGAGCGTCTGCCTGACTTTTCCAGGTGGCATCATCGCACTTGGTATAGGTGTACAACGAAGAAGTGCTGCTGAGTGCACAAGTTTGTTCCGAAACATCTGTGAAGAAGGCTTCGAGTCCAAACCACTCACAAAGTCTCAATTCGTTGGTTGGGCCGCCCGATGGTTCAGCAGTTCGATATACAAGACGGATGTTTTAGAGACGGTCCTCCAGAAGGCATTTGGGGACAAAGATCCAAAGTCCCTCTATGGATTGAACAGCTCATGCCGAGTTGCAGTCACGACAACAGCTAAGGAAGACTGTCACCTGATCGCCAATTATCATACAGGCGGTAAAGATCGGTACCTGTACTCAAAAATTCCGCTCTGGAAAGCGTAAGATATCTTGATCCGATTTCTGGGGCTTGGCTAACCTAGTATCTTAGTGCTCGTTGTACTTCGGCTGCTCCTATGTACTTCGAACATGTCTCCCACGCTGGACATGAATGTCGTGACGGCGGCCTGAAAGAGAACAATCCCGTCCAAGTAGCGCTTAACGAATCCAGAAAGATATGGAAGGATCCTACTTACGACGCAATCCTATCTATTGGATCGGGGCAAGCTAGGTATCCAGCAACCGAGCCAGTTTCAACCGCCATCATACCCAAGTGGCTTGCTCATCTCTTCTCAACCCTCGTTAGTACCATGAATGGCGAGGATGCATGGGACAGGTTTCGCTCCAGCCAGGATAAGCATATACTAGACCGTGCTTCGAGATTCAACTTGAAGTTCAATGGGAGCACTGAGCCGGCTCTTGACGATGTAAATGCTATTCCGAGCATGGAAACCGCGGCGAAGAAAGTAAAATTCCATGAAAGGCTTTCTATCTCACCATTCTCAGCAACCTCTGGCATTATCCAAGTGGACGCACTTCATCTTATGGCTGACAAACTTCGAGCAAGCCTCTATTTCTTTGAGCTCGGGAATATCACGAAACACGGTACCGTCGCAGTAGTTCACGGCTCCATCTGCTGTCGCTTGATGCCGAATGATAATGGCTTCAAAGAGCTCCTATCTCGCACTTTGAGATTCCTTGTTCGAGGAAAAGTGTACGAGTTCAAGAGAGTTCCTGTTGATCAACCACTTCGATTTGCAGTTGAATTTCAGCACCAGCATCTTGATGAGCCGATTCGCATTGATGTGAACTTTGGGGCTACGCATTCAACGACTATTAGCGGCTTCCCGATGACTTTGAAGGTTGGTAATACACCAACGCTATTAGAATGTGTCATTAACAACTATCTTAGACTTTATTCACTCATGCCGAACATCAAGCAACTTCTCCAGCGTCAGTGCCAATGGCAGAAATGACAAGCAATACAAGCAACCGCGATCCACCTGCTGGAGTAAATAAAGGTAAGTCATTCCAATTACTGGTTGCATATTCGTTTCACTATGGCAGCGCGACTAATAGGCTGTCTTCAAACATTCAGATCAGAACACATGTCTAACGCAAACAACAGCAGCTGAGCTACCGGCTATTACAAAGGTCACAACGAGAGAAGTACCATCTACAGTGGCAGGTACCGTAAAGCGGCCCAAATCGACAGAAGACAATGCCAACACCATGAAGAACTTGGTTTCAGCAGCAACGGAGAATGATACAGAGAAAGTGCTGGAGCTACTTGATCAAGGAGTTCCTATTGATGGCAAACATGGCGGTTGGACTGCACTTGGCTGCGCGGCTCACAGAGGACAATTGGATACCGTTCAGGCTCTCCTCCTTCGCGGTGCTGATATGGACATACTAATGGACATTGGCTGGGGTGTTCTCCCTGGCGACGGCAGTGCTATCAACTGGGCAGCTTGCGGCGGCTATCTCGACGTTGTTAAGATACTCTTGGAGAAAGGGGCTAAGTCGAATATTTGCGCGCAGAGACCGGTGTTCCTTGGCACTGGGGGAACGCCTGTTACTATGGCGGCAGGGAAAGGCCACCTCGAAGTTGTTCGGTACCTCGTTGAGAATAAGTGTGATGACGATTCCGCAGATGGTATTCCGGGTTGGGATGCCTTCATCATCGCATGCGAAAAAGGAAAACTCAACATCATCAAATACTTTGTCGAGGAAAGGGACCTCAATTTTGACAGAGCTGGCAGCGATGGCGTCACGCCTCTGATTACAGCAGCTCAGAGTCAGCAGACCGCTATCATGGAGTACTTGGTCAAGCGCGGGGCGCACATAGACGCGACCGACAGTGATGGAAGCACTGCGTTGCTTCATGCTGTGACTAAGAAGAGAGTTGGAGCGGTAGAGTGGCTGGTGAAACATGGTGCAGACGTGAGGAAGCAGAATAACAAGGGGATCTCGCCGTTGAAGCTGGCAAAGGAGGAGTTGCGGAAGAACCAGGATGACAAAAATGCGACGGCTATAGTTAAGTGGCTTGAGATCCCGATAGCCGTTGCATTCCACACAAAGGCTTAGTGAGGAGCTTGTTCCCGGGCTGGTATTCACGGGGCTCAGAGGCCTGTCAAGCAACTCATCTGTGCGACAGTTATGATAGACGTATCATATACGAATACTACATGACGGAAGTGAGGCGCTAGTCCTGCTTTTGTGATGTTAGGTTGCTAAGAGCAAGTCAATTGTCAAGCATTTTATTCCATAGCAGGTGATATTCTAGTAGATTATAAAACTCTGATAGATTTTCAGGTCTGGTCTATAAGACAGCCAATACACACAATAATCCTATATACCATAACTCCAGCAAATAGCAGAAACGACAGAAACCATTTGTGATGTAATGGAACCTGCCTTAGTAGTTCTTAATCACTGCCAACAGGGCTCTCTTCTCCTTGTAAACAGAGAGATCATGCCCAGTGAGTAGCTTGCCAGGATCACTGTATGCCTTAGTCTGCAGGATGATAATCTGGTTATCTAGGAGATGATTTGATAAGTCAGAGAGTCATAATGGTAGGGAATGGTCACTCACGTTGAGGGCAACCAAGAGCCTCGAGGCTCGCACAGGTTTGCTTGAGATCGAAAACGGTAGCCATCTAGACCAGAAGGGTTAGCCCAATGCCTTTAGTGAGGAAGAGGATACAGGCGCGAGGGTTTCAACATACCCTTGTAGATATTATAAGTAACGAATATTGATAATGATGTATAGAGAACAGTTCGCGATAATAGTTGATGTAATATGCAACGAGAGATCAGTATTTAATTATACTGCAATGATCTTCAAGACATTCTCCGCAGGTGATGAATAGACTGTGATCCCTTTGTTTAACCTCATGGCTTAAAGCCACACAAAGACCATAGGTTGGGCAAAGACAAGAATCAAGAATAGAACAGCATCACAAAGAGCAGCCCTTCAGATACAAACAAAGGTCCGATAAAGAAAGGAGTTTACATGCCAACATCGGCAGTAAGCTACTTTGTTAACATCTTCCTATTGTTCACCCTTTTAACAGATTTTAGCCATTGGTGTGAGAGATACTGAATATACTACGGCAAGTCCAGCGCGGCTCACAAGTACAGACACCAACACCCAGAGATAGGATTTAGGAGACAGACCATAAACGACATAGAGACTTCAGTATGTTAGATGATCCTTTAACGTGTTTATTATGGCATCCTAATACCAGTCTAGAGTTATCCTAGTTTACCCGTTTTGTTATTCATGATGTATCCTGACTTTAGACAAAGTAGCAATCACTTGTTTCTCCGTCGCTTATTCTCTCTATCGATTTTCTTGAAGAAGTCACTCTTTTCACCCTTTTTTCTCTTCAGACTCTTGTTAGCAGAGGTATTCCGTTCAATGAACGCCATGTCCTGCACACCACTAAGCTGATCGAGATAGCCCGCGACGCGCTTCACCGTATTCTTTCCCTTGGCTTTTCCTCCCTTTCCACCAGTCTTCTCCCCACCCCAGAGATCATCCGCAGCAAATTCATCATCGACAGAAGTTTCGTTGTCAACTAACGTGCCTTGCAGTAATTCTTTTTGTTCAGAGGGAGTAGAAAATGCGAGATCAGGTGTTTTCTCGATACCATCTAGCTTGGTGATGACTTTGAACGCGTAGCCTTGGTCAATGAGGAAGGCCTGCCGCTTTGACGCAAAGTGCATTTCGGACGTGTCTTTGGAAACGAGGGAGTAAAAGAAGGCGTTGAATCCCTCATCGTTTCGCCGTTTTGCTCGCAAGATGCGACCGAGTCGCTGTGCCTCTTGACGGCGTGACCCGAATTGCGAGGATATCTGGATGAGGCACGTTGCTTCCGGGAGATCAAGTGATGTATCCCCAATTTTGGAGAGGAATAGAGTATTCACTTCGGGGTTGTGACGGAAATGGTCAAGAACCCTGAGTCGCTCTTCCTGGCTTGTTCCCCCGTAAATAAGGTACCTCTTCAGCTTGTATGCATATAACTTGAGGGAGTAAAGCTCATCAGAGAAAACGATGATCTTATCCCCGCGAGCTTCATGATAGTTGATAAGAAACTGGCAAGCCTGAAATTTGGAAGGATTGATGGCGGCTAGTGTTCGCTTCATGCGAGACGAGACCTGTAGGTATTGCTCGTAAAAGACAGTCGGCATGGAACACCAGACCTCAGCACATTGCACCTTGGCGATATGCCCCTGCTGCGACAGTTCCATCCAATTTGCTTCGTACAACTTGGGCCCGATGAGGAAGTTGAGATGATCGATCTTGTCATCCTCACGAAGCAGCGTGGCAGTAAGCCCAAGTTTAGAGTGCGTTTTGATCGACGAGATAACGCGTCGAAACATATTCGCCGGAACGACATGTACCTCATCAAGAAGCATCAATCCCCATTCCCGTCCAGCTAAAAAGTCCATCATCTTCTTTGAGTCATGAGCGCGCTCGCGACTATTCGTAACCATTGAATACGTCGTCACAATAATACCGGTACTTCCAGAGAATTTCTCCTTGCTGTCGGACGTAAAGGTTGTGATGTCCTCTGGGTTGATGTTTGACCATTTGAGAAACTCGTTGCGCCACTGTACAGCAGAGACTGAGCTTGTGCAGAGAACGATGACGCCTTTTCTGATGGTGCATGCGGCTGTGATGCCGACGAGGGTTTTGCCTGCGCCGCACGGCAGAACGATGATGCCGCTTTTGGCGCGACCGTTGCCGAACATCTTGCTGAGACTCTTTTCTTGATAAGGTCTGATCTGGGTGTTTGGGCGAAGGTCGATGTCCAAGTCGGGGTTGATGTTGTCGCAGCGGAAATCGTACTCTTCTAGAATGGGGTAGGACAGGTCCAGGCAGCGCTTTTGCACGCTTTCAACGGCGCTGTCGGGAATCTCAAAAGCATGGACTGCTTCTTCATCGTCATCATTGTCTTCGTCATTCAGAATGTCTTCAATATGATCCGACTCTGAGGTGTCTTTGTTCATGTTTTGTGGGAGGTCTGCTTGCTGAGCCCCCGCCGCGTTCTTTGTTCCAGGAATTACCAAGCCACTCAAGGCCGGGGCACGCGTCGTAGTAATCTCATCGGAGCCGCTCACTCGAAGGGGACCGATGATGCTGTCTTTGAGCAAAGTCTGAAGGACATCTGCGTCGCTGCTTTCGACGAAATATTTGTTGCTCTTCAAAACCAGCTTAACCTTTCCATAGCTCTTGGTGCACGATCTGATGAACTCCTTTATAGTCTGCGGAAGTTCTGTTTTGAGAAACTTGTCAAGCGTGCTGATGATGTCTTCGCCGTTCAGACCAACAGAGACAGCAGCGTAGAGACTGTGCGGCGTGATCTTGTACTCGTGGAGAAAGGCAGGTCTGGATTGAGGCTCCGCGATAGTAACGAGGAAGTCAGTGGCCAAGTCCGCCAGAGGATGGAAGCGTTCAAGAATGATATATCCTTTGTCGGGGTCAATCCATAGCGGCCGGTTGGCGCTATCGGGGTTCGGCGCAAGATATGAGAAGTCGCGCTTGACGATGTTTCTGAGGTCAATAGTAGCTTTTTGCCCTTTTCTTTTTAGCGACATTATGATGTTGCAGAAGAAAAGAAAGATGTGGAGGGATTGAAAGAGGTGAAATTGAACTTTAGGCAGCTGACACAGAGAACAAAGAACATAACGGCAGAACAAGGATGACTAACGGTTATTCTGTCACGTGCAGAAGCACGCCGATTTTGTAATGACAGGAAGGCAGAAAAAAAGAGATATGAGAGTTCATATTGTAACAAGTCATTGTTCTTATCTCTCTTTCTCCCGGGTCAATCACTCAATCTAACAATACACATAGAGCCACGCTGGGACACAAACTATAGACTAAGAGATAAAAGTTCCGTAATAAGCTTACTGATGCTGTAAATGTACTAGAATACATTATAAGGGATACAGTTAAAATAGAAGTAGTAAGGATCAGAGTCTAAATAACAAAGCATTTATAGCAAGCAAGAAGCCTACCCGGCACTAAACCTATGTCTTTTTAATTCTCCATTGTCTCCCCCAGGGTCCACTATCGATTCTGCAAAACTCCCTATCTACGCCCATGCACAGTATCTAACTGACCGATCTGTCAGTGAAAAGTGACTTAATTCACTCTGTCAAGCGTCTTGGGCTAGGAATATCAAATAGAAAGTAACGGGAGACAGGTACGAAGCCATAACCTTGATGTTCTGTCTACAACTGAATGCACCTCCAGAACAACCTTGACACGGCTGCTGAAGTGGATCCTTTGCTGGCAATTCAAGCGACATCATTTGGCAAAGTGCACAGCATGGACCTGCATAAGCCTGGTTGGGAGTTCTGTTATTAGCATTTTGCTACCACAACCGGTTAGTAGTTTATGCTTAACTTGATAAATTTTCAATAGCGTCACAGACTATTGGCAATAGCTTCCTGCTAACATGACCTAGCGCCAGTTATACCACAGCCGCAAAAAGGGGATGTTTGGCACTAAATAATTCCAACTCAGATTTGCATCTTGCAACCTCTCAATATTTACACTCTTTAAATTCACGCTGCGATATCTGCAGTCGTATCCACTCGTTTCAACAATTGCTTTAATAACGACATCATGGTTCGCGTTACTTTGCTCAACCTAGCAGCCATTGCTGCGCTGCTCCTCGGCGCCGAAGCCGGCCCCTGCAAGCCAAAGCCGACCACTACGACAGGCGTTGCCGAGACCACATCGACGCTCCCTGTTGATACTTCGGCTACGTCAATCGCTTCGACTACCGTCATTACCACGGCCGATACTACGACTACAATCCCAGAGGAGACTACTACAACGGCCCTGGCAGATACTACGACTACAGACGAGGCAGAATCCACCACGACGACTGAAGCAGGATCTACTACTATCACGGAAGCAGAATCCAGCACTACAGCCTTGGTAGATACTACTACTACAGCCCAGGCGGAATCTACCACCACTACTGCAGCGGCAGGCTGTGTTGAATCTCAGCTCTTCGTCAACCCAAATTTCGACGACAGTTCCAGCGGTATTGCGCCCTGGATCAGCAACGCCGCCCTCACCCAAAACCAACCCCAATCTGGCACTAATGCGCTGTATGTTCATTCAAATTCTGCATTTTTACCCTTTCCTTGCTAATAAATCACAAACTAGCGCCGCGACTTTCAGCAACGGCCAACCAGATTACTCCATCAAGCAGACTCTCCAGAATCTGAGCGGCAAATATAAATTTTCCTACTATTATCGAGTCGTCAGTATCAGCCAAGGTGCCGATTACACTTGCAACATTCAGCTTACGGCCGGGTCTGTAAGTTCTTATGGCGAGATGTACGACAGCGTCGGTGGCTGGAGGACGGCCAACGTTGTCTTGGATATGGGTGATGCTACTATCGCACAGGCAGATGTGGAGTTCGGTTTATCCTGTTATGGAGAATTCACTAGAATTGAGGTTGACGTTGATACTTTTGCGTTTACGCGAGTTTGCGCTGAGTAGGAGTTTGCGGTATTAGAGCAGCTTGAGGGGTCATTGGGCGTTGAGGATTGACTTCTGATACATATGAGATGTACAAACTTATGGGATTTATACTTCAATATGAGAAATAGACAGCACAACACCTTCTCCAGGTTGATCATTTCTCTGCCTCGACGAGTCAGGCTTGGGGACCTTTTGCCGCGGACTGCGACCTATCAGGATGACATGTTCCAAACAAGAGGACCTTTCGGCGCACGGACTGCAAAGACATGTCCATGGAAGCCACAGCTTTTGCTCTTAGCATAGGTAATGCTACTCATCGAGTTAATACAGAAGCACTCCTGGCCGAGACAAACGGCGTTTTTGATACATATATTACCCGTCTTACTTATCACCGCAAATTCTTTGAAGGTCATTATCTTCACTGGTATAGAGCCCTAGATCGACCCACTCTCAGTGTAACGCTCATGAACTTGATCAACTCTTTAGGTATAGTGACAGAATGAATTCCGAAAAAACCGGAGTTCGCGGCGGATCCCAGCTATTTAAGCATAAGCCGAATGCTAAAGGCTGGAGGGCTCGTTAATCGCGGAATAAATTGCCCAGAACCCCTGATTAAAGTGTTGGTCGGTTGTCTGTTGACTTGCAAAGTGGACTGCATGGGCGTTTCTGACAGGTCTGTCACATGCATACTACCTCCGAAAGTGACTAGCTGTAGTGGACTATTGGCAATAGCCTCCTGCCAAGCCGTTATCTAGCGCCAGGTACAGCTGCAAGAATGAACTGATCCGCAGAGATAACTGGATTTAAAAGGAGGATAAATCCAGTTGCTTAAATTTGTCTCTCGCAACATCTCGCTATTCACATTCTCTGAAATCACGCTGCAATCCCTGCGGTAGTATCCACTCGTTTAAATATTTGTTTTCAGTTACGCGCGCCAGAATGGTCCGCTTTACCCTCCTCAACGTCGCGGTCATCACCGCGTTCTTTGCCGGAGCCGAAGCCGGCCTCTGTCGACCTTCAACGACGGCCGTGACCAGCGCTGCCGTTACCACGACTACCTCAATCGATGCCACTACTACGCTCGCGGCAACCACCACCACTGCTGTGCCAGGCTGCGTTGAAACCCAGTTGCTTGTTAACCCAGGCTTTGATGATTCCGACAGCGGTTACGCGCCATGGACTGGGAACGCTGTCATAATTCAACGAGACCCTCAAGCCGGCACTCAGGCTTTGTACGTAGCTCTATGTAATATTTTCTTCTATAACGCATGCTGATGTATCGTGCAACAGAGCCCAGATCTACAACAACGGTCAAAGCAATGCCAGAGGCTACATCATGCAGACCCTGACGAATCTGAACGGCGACTACGAATTTACCTACTATTACCGGGTTGTTGTTGCCAGGACTGGTCTCGCCCCTACATGTGATCTCCAGATCAAGATCGGGGGAGATACGACCGTTCCCGCCAACATAGACTTGGTCGTTGGCGATTGGAAGTCAGGTAGCTTGTCCTGGTCTAGTGCAGGCGAGACTGTCGCGCAAGCGGATGTGGAGCTTGCCGTAACGTGTAGAGGAGACTACGACAGAATTCAAATCAATCTCGACAGCTTTGCATTCAAGCGGGTTTGCAGCGCCTAGGGCTATCTGTACATCATTGGGATATCAACTTTGGCATCCAAGGGCTTTCAAGACTTAACTTCTCGTATTTAATACTTATATGTCATTATTAGATCCAACATATCATAATCAGACAAGAATTAGATGGGGTGGATTCTAGACCGTGGAGGCCCGTTTTACTTTCATTGACATATTGGCACGTATTGCAAAAGACTGCGTCGCTTTTAAATTCAATTTGATTTGGTGGCTATTAATGATATGAGAGATGTGAGATCTGGTGAGTAGAACTTGGCTTGGTCCCTAGATCCCTAACCGTACCCTCCAAAAGTGCATACCTCATACTAACCAAGCCAGCCAACCTATTTGTTGCTCTTGGAAGACCAGATGGGAGTAGCGCCACCGTTCTTGTACAGAACAAGGTTTCCATCATCCTGGACAGAGACAAAGGTCTTGTTGTCACCGCTGGGGGCAGCGGTGTTGGTGTGCCAAGTGGCCTTGCCATTCTTGTCACTGCGACATATGAGTCAACAACCGTACAGCAAGGAGATGGAGAAGAACTGGACTTACTAGATGCAAAAGTTGCCATCACCCTGCATGATGGCGCCCTTTGCGTTGCTGACCTGCTGGTCGGTGCTCTGCCAGGCGCAACGGTTGTTGTAGTAGATGGCGAGCTTGCCGTCGTCTTGCATGCGCAGCTCGACGGAGCGGTCTTTGCTGAAGATGCTCATGCCAACCATGAGCCAGTCGCCATTCTCGAGAGTTCCGTAGCCCATATTTAGTGATTGGTATTGGAGAGTTGTCTGAGAAAGAGTTGATGAAGATGAGTTGAGTTGAGTTGAGAGTCTGGTTCCAATGTGAGTGAGGGCGAGGGCTTCTTATAGACAAAGAGGCTCTCGGGTAACATTGGAAAGCCAGCGAGAGAGTACCTTGTAGATCAGTCTACGCGTACAGCTGTTGCAATGTCTCACAACTAACACCCGTAGATCATCACCGAGTCCAATTATCTCGAGAAATAATGTCTCATGTCACCGTGCATCATGTAGTTGCACGCATCCGTCACATTTTACAGGATGCTGGCATGATTTTCAACCCTCCGGGCCATCGGCATATGAAATTCGAATCACTCACCGAGACACGGTACGACGACGATCTAGCGGTAAGTGACCCTGTCGTGTTGTTGCCTGAGAGAAGAGAAATCGCTTGTCTCTTGCTATTGGACGGACTGATGATCTGGCTGTCGGCTGGGGTTACACAATCGTGACGAAGAGTCCGGGGAAGACCTTGTGACATTCTGTCTCTTCATTCACATATCTAGACTCCTGGAATGGCCATCTAGATGTTTTTACTACCTCGTCACATTGTTGAACAAACTTCGTTCGAATGAATCATACCGAAGACTGGTCTAGAGCCAGAAAACATGTCATTCTCTCTTCCGATAGCCCACCAACGGGGAAGCGGGGTTTGAAGAGATCTCAATTGTGACAGTTTTCGCTGTACCTGGTTGCACGATCTGTATGTCTCACCTAAAAGAGCAGCGGCCCGTCTGAACCCCCCTCTTCTGTCTGAGATTCAGCCCGCCACAGAATTTCCCGTGTCTCAGTACTCGGCCTTTTGTGGATCAGAACAAAGCGACGTCATTCGTTGTATTTGCTTGCGCATTATGCAGCCGGGAACCAAAATAGTTGTTTTCATGAGAATGATACACCTGCTACTCCAAGCCAATAATAATTCTCATTTCAAATCATTCAACGAAGAGTATAGGACCGCGCAAGAATTCCTTGAGAAAGCGTTGGCGCTGAATTATACGGGCTCATGGACCTACATTATTGTCAAGCTCACTACTCGACAAGGCGGGGTAATAAGACATGCAGAACAAACAAGGGGCAGCGGATGCGTCTTTGAGGCGTAGATGCCTGGTACCTGTCACTCATGACAAGAAGTACAGCCTACGAGGGAGTTGTCGGAGGGTCGGAGTGAAGCCCCGTCCCGTTCCATCTCGCAGCCGCAGATCGATCTTTTTAGTCTCGATGCATATTGCGGTGTAGATTGCCGCCGCCACTGACGAGCTATTGCCTGGGTATCCGGGTATTGACGGTGCTAGCAGATACAACCCGTCTCTAGCATGTGAAGTTTTCTTCTTCTGTATCGCTTCATATCATAATCCGCCTTTAATTGAAGCCGCTGGCAGCCGAGTGATATGCGTCTGCAGCTGCATGCATAGTTCTTGTACTGATACCCCATGGGATGATTTGTCCTCCTCCTTCGTCCTACACTCGAGAAAAGTTCAGTGGCTGCTTGACCGGTGTGCAACATTCTTACAGCTATCGAGGACAGGTGTCACGAGACCCCGCAACGTACTACTGCTTGCTCTGGACTGAGACAAACAGGCAGGGGAATGTTGAAATGACATATCCTACCCAATTGATACATGATACATCATGGCATTCTTCCACAAACTTCCAACGGCTTCCTTGCTGCAACTTCTGGCGCACTGATTGCCACAGAAGGTTGTGAGACAAGTACCACTTTTGGCCGTCTGCATTCCTCAACGGAAGAACCTCAAATGAGTCGTAGGGGCATGACGATGTTTTTCCATAATGTGAAGGCCGCAATCACATCATCATTAGATCTACTGTATCATCTGCAGCAAAGTCTGTTTTCGTAGAACCGTACATTGTATTAGACATTGAAGTACCATCGACGATAAACTCAATTAAGATAAAGCAGTGAATTCTTCTCTAGCCCAAACGAACCTTCTTGCTGTTGGGAAGTCTCTCATATGGGATCATTTCATCAGCAAACGCCTTTGCCTTTCCATCATTAGCCCAATCCCAATTATCCATATAACTACAAGATAGATAATTAGTACTAACTCAGTCTGAGGCTTTGTGAGTAACTTACGACATTAATGCGAAAAGAGCATATGACTCAGCCGTAAAAGTGGCTTTGCTCGGGCCACAATTTCCGGCGTTGGGCCCCTCGTGAGAGCGCGCCAAGTTGGACACCCACAGAAAGTTGTCTGTTGTCATTCTATAGTCAGTAACTATCACTTTATTTCACAAGAACGAATAGAAGATAAACTGCAGAGAAGAACTCACATGTAAGATATTTCTTGAGGTCCTTGAGAGATGCGTCAGTGGTGCGTTTGCCGTCGGGTTGTTGCCAGACGAGGGCTCCCTCCTTTCCAACAGCCTGTTGATCTGGGACTGCGTAGGTAAGATATCAGCATCTGAGCAAATTTGAAAAGCAATAATATTTTTTAAAAAAAAATAAAAAAACGTACTATTGCGGTTCTCAGGTCCACCAGTTCCATCACCGCCAAACCAATGGGCAAGCTCGTGGACCATGACTCGAGAAAGGCTTGTAGCCGAGTATGTATCCAACGTATCATCCTTCTGAACGCTGTCTTTAGCATCAACAGCAGACTTTGTACTAGCTATCGGGTCTTGAAAAGAAGGAGGACAAAAGATGATAAAATCATTGCGGGTCAACGTGACGGCAAATACACCTGGTCTACAGAGTCCTGTGTTGGCTTGCTTGACGCTATTTACCAGGTACCGCTTCTTGTAGACCCAGGCTCCAGCTTTTGCGTCCCCTATCTCCTTGGGTCTGGACTCGCGAAGAGGGCGTCCTGCTGGGTCATGGGGATCTTTGTCGTCTCTTCCGACCCAAACGAATTTACTTTCGTCGCATAGCAGAAGAGGCTTGAGTCCGCCATAGCCATTGGCTGGAACCATCTCGTCGTTGTGAAGTGTTTTGACCATGCGATCATAAACGTCTTCGGACCAATCAGTAAAGACATACTAGCTGGTGTAGCGTTGACTTACATCTAACATTAGAGTAATGCTCCTCGTTAGGGTCATGTCCATCTTTATTTGGCACAAAGCCAAACATGTTGGTAGCAGCCCTTGCGATACGGTCCCAGTTGGTTCGCATGTTTGAGACAAAGTCTGGGCGCGCGCCTTTGAGCTTCTCGAGGTCTTCTTGAGCCTTGACTGCTAGGACTTCTGCATCGCTGTACGCCTTATCAAAAGCACCTTTACGTTCAGGTGTTTGGCAAGAGTCATCAAGATCCCAGACATTCATGTCTGCGGCTAAGCCAAGCCCAGCGAGGGCCACGATAGGCAAAAAGACCTTCATGGCGAGGGATGAACAGGCTGGGAACAAACAGTAGAGAGTAGTAGAAGTAAACGGCAGGACCAAGAAAGGTAGAAAGAGAGAACACCCAATACCGTACATATAAGACCTCAAAGTTATGTTTATTGCAGTGCCCGAGATTAACAACTAAAGAAGGTACGTACTATTTAATGTCTCTTGAATGGGGAAGTGCTTGTGAATTAATCACAGGGATGGAGAAAGTTTCTCCATTAAGAACTATCTCCGTCTAAGCCTTGCGAAAAGGCACAGACAATCCTTCAATGTCACTGTAATCAACTCTTGCTCTGACCTAAGAAACCCGTTTCATTCAAATCCTCGTATCGGTCCTACTGAGCGCTTAACCCATAACACGGAAATTGCCGTAAACAATCCAGCGTTACGGATTGATATGGATCCGTAGGGCTATGCCGAGGCTGTGCGGCTCGGGCCTAGACCTGTTTGATTGGCCTTCTTACGGCTTGACATCAACCTTCCAGTCTCTGATTGGTCCTTTTGTCAGAAATGCCTCGAACTGCTCCATCGGATTATTCTTAGAGCTAGAGTTTGACGCTAACAAAGCACTGTTATAAAAAAGCTTACTTTTAATTTTAAACATGTAAGCAAGCTCATGCATTCAGATCCTTCTGCACGGAATCCCGCTGCGGGCGGGAGATAAACTCCCGTAGTGAAGAAGATCGATCATGAACTGGAGTTCACATGCCGAAATGGACTGTACTTCCGAAATAAGCGCCACAATTGGTGGATAGTACTCCACCGGCTGTGCAGATCCTACGGCTTACTTGTTTGCCCTGCCCTGAGCTTGGATAATTTTGGATGAGGCAGTCTAGCTAAAGCAAGGCGAGATACTATCCACCAATAATTACAACAATACCGGATGTTCCAACGAAATCATTCCGAGTGGTATATATCGTAATATTCTAGCTCAAGTTGCCGAATACCATCAGTCTTGACTTGGCATCTCGGTCCTCTCCTCTCTATCTCCTCAATCGTCCTTGGTTCATCTTCTTCCTGTCTTTCGTTGTCAACATAACCGCCATCATGACGGTACCTTGGAAGGTCAGCGCCATAGCAGCACTTTGGCTAGGTGCTACAGCCGTGGGTGCAAACCTTGAACAAGAAACCTCTTCTGGTGCAGCCGTGTTCACGCACCCAGTCTATCATAGAATTCTTGTTCCAAGGCAAGAACAAGAAATACCCGCTGATGACCGCAATCCTCCACCCCCAATCGTCCCCAATCCTCAGCCAAATCAACCTGCAGGCCCAAACACTCCTGTTCCAGCTCCTGAGCCAGAAACAACAGCCGAGCCCAACAATCCTCCCCCTCCAGCTACAACAATAGCGGCACCCGAGCCAGAGATTACAACACAGCCAGAGAACCCTCCTGCCCCAGTTACGACACAGAAACTTGATGAGCCAGAGGATCCAAAGACCACTGATGGCGCTCCAGTACCTGTGCCAGTACCGGTTCCAGTTCCCAACAAACCGGATGATCCCAAGAAACCTGACGATCCGAAAAAGCCTGATGATCCCAAGAAGCCGGATGACCCTAAGACCCCAGACTTTCCTGATGTCCCCGATGTCCCTAAGGTCCCAGACGTTCCTAAGGTTCCTGACAATCCCGACGACCCCAAGGAACCTGACAGCCCTCAAGATCCCAAGGACCCTGCAAAGCCTGACGATCCCGAGAATCCCGATGACCCTGAAGACCCGAAGGATCCCGAAGATCCAGACCCCAAGGACCCTGAGAACCCCGATCCCAAAGATCCAGAGAATCCTGATCCTAAGGACCCCGAAGATCCCAAGGACCCTCAAGACCCTCAAGACCCTCAAGATCCCAATGAACCAGATGATTGTGAGAAAAAGGAGCCAGCACCATGCACAAAGACCGTTTCCTTCTACTCAGAAAGTGAGACATACACCAGGCAAGTCTACAGCACTGAACCGTTCTCCTGTCAATATTCTAACAGCAGATCTATAGTACCGTCTACGTGACATGCCCTGTACCCATCGACTGCCCGGCCAAACAGACCCCCACCATCACCACCAGCATCTTCCCCGAGGAGTCAGTCCTCTTCGGCGAAGTACCAGCCGACAACGAGGCCATCCCTACCATGGAAGCCATCGAAGACGACACCTCTCGTTACTTCCAACAGGTTTTCGACGATGAAAACATCTCGATCAACGACGCTCAACATCCGGATGTTCAGTGCCAGCAACAAAGTAGCGACGATATTCCTCGCGATTGCTTCATGTCCATCTACTCCAAGTTCTGCGCCGATGTTAATGGACATGAGGGCGATGAGCTGAGCAAGAACCTCACTGGAGCCGACGCTGAGAGCGGATCTCAAGAGAAGCGTGCGTCGCTCAATCTTAGAAGACATATGCTCCGAGAACGAGCTGAGTCTTGTGAGGGCTGGGTGTTTGAATACGACTGGAGCGGCGCAAAGGGCGATTGCCAGATTCCCTGCGGTGATTCTATGTACGCTTTTGGCGATGAGTGCTTTGACTCTGAGAACAGCTTTCTTGAGGGGACCATTGATGTAGGATGCGGTACCTACAAGTACACCGCCATGCCTACCACTTCAACAACAGCACCACCCTTCCACTTGACCGGCCTCCCAACTCTTACCGACGTTCCGGGACCTATCTCGACTCCTGACGGTAGCTCGTGCGCCGAGACAGCGACAAACACACAGTGTGCTCAGGGCGGCGGTGGTAGAGGCCAAGCATGCGTCGAGAACACATACTGCGCATCATGGGTCTCAACCCAGCCTACTGAAGCTCCAGCACCACCAGAGGAGAAGATCACACCTTTAGAACTGGGGCCAGTGTTCTGTAAGAACAGAGGCGGAGACCACAAAGACGTCAGCCCAGGCGCCGTGAAGTCTTTAGCAGATGCGTACTGCGAGGCGAACTTGCCTGTCGATATGAAGCCCGACAGTCCTGCCGCTGGTATCACCAAGAGCGACCTGTATTACTATGAGGTTTCGTGGGTTGAGGGATGCAAGACGACCGTGGAGTCACAGGATCCGTATACGCCACTTGGAAATGATGGCCCGCTTTGCAAAGATCTGTTTGTCAAGGCTTATGCAGGCTGTAAGTACTCCTTCCCATTTTTCACTGATCGTATACTAATGTGTTGGGTTGCAGGTGATAATGGCGGTATTGGAGGATACATAGATGCGGGTTGTGTACGATACATGTTTCTCGGCGCTCAGTAGCGGCTTTCTATTTATTCATCTCAATAGCAACGATCTTCTATTAAACAAGTAATAAAGCTTTATTCTAAATGGCAACGATGCTTCTTTCCTCCCAGTCCTCCGCCAAAAGAAGCCGTGTTCCTTCACCCTCCTTGTCTTTCCCTGTAGCCTCTGCTCAAAATGAACCTATGCGGTAATACTCACCAGATTTCTCAGCTGGGTAAATTATCAATGCAAACATTTGTCTGATACCACTACGCAGATAGAAGCAGCTAGAGAGTGCGACAGCCAGAATCTTATCTGCGAGATGGCTTGGAGTCTCCGCGTTATGAATGTCTTCTGTTGCGCTGCCTAGACTGCACGGTCGTCGAAATCTTACATTACATTTTTTATTTTACCTATCAGCATTAGACTGAGGGACAATTTTAGCTTTTCCCTTCAGAAACCAAATACAGCCACTGAACCCTTGCATAGTTTGAACCCAAATCTAATCGCAAAGCCCACTAGCTTTAAGTTCAAAGACTGGCTTTCGGTATAAAATTTACCTACGAAGCGATTGGTATGAGAAGGCTTTTTCATTTACATCTCTGAAGACACACAGGATAGAGTTCAAATATTCGCGCTGATCCCTCATATAAATAAGTGGCCTTGCCCCCTAAAAGTGGCGTCTTGCCCTTGACATGTTGCTGGACACAACGCCATATGACAAAAGAAGAAGGATACCGCACGCAGCTATCCAAGATGAAACGCTGGCTATGTACTCTCTTTAGTTGCGGCCGCAGAGGTATGCCTCCAGACTGTTCAGGTAAAACTCAGAGCCGCTTCCTGCTACTGCTACTGACTCAAATGGAAGAAGCGGTGGAAAGCATTCATCCCATGAGAACGGATGAGGTAAACAACCCGATGAGTGGGGAGATGCCCAAGATAGGAACGGCCAAGAGCTCAACGGATTCGCTAATCCAGCTGACGACTTCGGACAACCATCAAACAAAAAAGGCTAATCCTGAAATGGATAGGTTAGTTACACCAAAGACCCCAGAGGCATCGGAGGAGCCACATACCGAAGGTCCAGTCGCTATTATACAACACAGGCTCGAGAGCTCAACGGATTTATTTGTACAACCAACAATTTCACACAAATATCAAACGACGAAGGCTGAACTCGAACCTGAGTGGCCAGTAACACCCAAGAACCTGTCCCCATCGGAGAATCCACATACACATGGTCCAGTCAACGCCATAAAAGAGAAGCTCGATGAACCATTGACTGCATCAAAACTGGCAGTCCTTCCAGAAGAGATTATCTTAAACATCATAAACCTAATATACGAAGGCACTGACCAGCAATCTCGGTTTGCATTCTTTGTCCTTCGGCAGGTATCCCGGCAATTCAGACGTCTGACCAAAGATAAGATGTTTCTATCGCACCCTTTTTCAGACAGAGATTGCTGTGCATGGTGTGTCGGCTATAAGACTGACTCTACTATTGCTAGATTGAAGCACAGTAACTGGGTATTCAGAAAGACCCATTGCTTTGAGCGCAAGACAAGATGCGAAGATACAACAAGACTCGCAAATCTTGTCAGAAAGGACAAGATCTGTGAAGAATGCCAAGTGGAAGTCGACAAGAGACAGAGACGTGGAGTTTCATTGACGTGCAAGTTTGCCGCCCGAGACAACAGAGATTGGGTATACTGCTCCATCTGCTATGTCGAACATCCATCTTCATGCTTTTCCCGTGAAGAATTACAAAAGGAATCAAATCGAGCATGCATTGCCAAAACGGGTTACGTTCGTCTCTGCGAACATAAGGTCCTGTTTTGGTATGACCTGAAACACCAGGCTATGCGACCGGGTGGGTTTGACGAGATTCAAAGCTGCAGACATCCAAGCCATTTGGAAAACGATCTCCGTCATAACGAATTCCCCACTGCCAAGCTAGTTGGCTCTTATGACGGCATTCTTAGTCTGTCGCTGTCATTGACTGTCGTCTCGGCGGAGAGATGTCAGACTCTTATGACGGGTCAGAATAGCAGCGTAGCAGCCGACCAAGTACTCGAGGCTATTGAGTCCGTTCGCCGGCATGGAGCGCAGTGTATTCTTCCAGAGCGCAACACGAAAGCTCCTCCTGAAATGGACGCTTTCGTCACCCCAGACATCCATGCAGGAGAAGAGGGAATGTGGACACCCATCAGGAAATGGCCCAAACACGGCGAGCTCAAGGATCGTGATGATTGGGGGAAGCGTCCTAATGGGTTGTCGGTGTTTTGTGAGCCCCGCCACTACGGACTCAATCAGTCGACCACTCGTCTTTGCTTTCTGTATGAGAGAAAGATACGTGTCAGAAACTCGGATTGGAATGGACCAAGCCACGACTGGTACCACGCGATCAGCCCAGAATCATATACATATTCTGGACCGCCAGGCGTTCCTGGTACATGCTCCAGTCCTTCCTGCCGAAACTACTATTCATTCACAACGAATTCAAAGCGCCATAAAGTTAGTGTGTGGAGACGCTACAGGATCTCAAGATAACTTGCCCAACAATACTATCCCCCTAGCTAAGCGGCTTCGCAATGTTTACAATGAGAAGACACATAATGCAACTGACGCAGAGACTGAACAAGGAATTGATTGATCTCCCTAATACAGATAATTTATAACTTGCTCTCTTCTATTTATAATATAACCTATGCCACGCCGGTGCCACGCCAGTGCCATACCAGTGCCATGTAAGTGCTACCAGAAATACCTAACACTATAACTTCATGAAACCCCTGCCCCTGAGTCAGGAATATTTGCTTAGCTTTGAGAAAAAACTTCACCTGTGATCTTTACATCTTCCACATCACTTCAACGCCAGTTTATATCGCCTTTCACTGCCGTTTTCGCTGCCGTTTTCGACTATATCTACATATCGACTCGTCTATATCTACAGATACTATATTCACCTTACTATTCCCACTTCCGCCTGTGCGTCGCTTCAAAATGAAGCTATCTACACTCAATGTTCTCTTTGCGGTTCTCCTGGGCATATTTGCCGTCGAGGCGGGTTACCAGCCTCCCAACACTTGCCCTCTTCAGTCAACTCGCCCTGCTCAGTCAATTGGCCTCTTCTCTGCCAATGGATGCCCCAACCTCTTCGCTGGTGCCGACAAGTGCCCTATTGAGGGTATTGACCTCTGCCATCCCTTGCCTGATTCGACTCTTTCTCGTGTTCCTCGCCCTTCGCCAGCATCTACTTCTCCTGAACCTGAGAGCACCGACCCCCTTGAAATTGAAAACCCTGGAACTGAGGCCTTAATTGGCAAGCTTATCGACATTGCGGCTCGCCTGGAACCCCAGTTCGAACGCCTTTTGAAGATCCAAGAAGGGATCCGACTCTTTTCCAGACCTGCTTTTCCCCATGCCGGTTTCGTGCTCAGCCTTATCACGATCATCAATTTTCCAAAGAAGCGCCTCTTGCTGGCCGGTGAACAACTTTTCAAGTGGTCTGAAGAGGCCCTTGAAGCCTCTCGCAATTCCCTTCCTGGCTCGACTCAGCAAAAGAATTGCGCAGGCAGGACTTGGCAGTATATTGTGTGGTTTTTTACCTTTTCTATCTATTCTATCGGCTATTACACTGCGTGGTTTCGGGAGGATTCCAGCGATAAGAACCAAGTCAAAGAGTTGACTGAGCAGAACCAGCACCTGGCTACAGAGAATGAAGTCCTGAAACATAATAACGGCTTATACGTGACTACAAACGACAAGCTGTCGAAGCAGAACCGCGGCCAGGAAACCCACATCAAGTACCTCAAAGCCCAGCTGAAGGCTAGCAAGGAGGAGGTTGCCCGATATGTAAAGGAGCTTGGTGAACTTGAGGTAGAGAGACATGATCAGATGGAGGGTCTCAACAATGAGATTCAATTTCTCAAGGATAAGGTCCGGGCAGCAGAGAAAGTCGTGGATGCTATGGTTATGGCTGAAGAGGGAAAATAGGTAGCTTATAGAAGGTTGTTTCGGAAGATACAAAGCACTGTAGGGGCATTGCTATTAACTGGTATCCTATGTCACTGCTGTAGGTTCTCTTTTAAGCGTTTAGATAAATGCGTGATAATGACCATAGCTAAATCCTATAGCTTAGGCAGGTAGTATACATAATACCTTTGCCCTAAGTGTACTATACAGCCAGTAAGAGGGCATAGCCTATTAGTTTACCTGCTTTATACACCAGCCCGTGCTATTATGTCTTGAAAGCTGAAGAAAGTTAACTGAGAATGACTCATGGACTGCGGCAAACAGTTGAAGTTCTGCTATATTGAATGCCGTCTCTGACGGGGCCATAAGACTGTAATATGACTCGATTCTAATGATAAGTGGCTGGGCTTGTGTGGGACTATAAGCTTCATAGAAGCGTTAGAGTGTTGAGAGGTGATCAACACGCGAAATTTTGTTTGATTCTCGGTTAAGTACACTTCTCTATGCTGGGGTTGAAAAGCCTGCCTATCACTTCTTGGTGGCTGGCTGAGTCCATTCTGAACCACTAGAAACGTTCTGCGCCATTGCGCATTATGAAAGTACCAATGAAATGATGCCAAGTCACACCGTGAACAAGCCCTTGGGGCTGTGGTGAAATGTACATTCAATGTCACAAATCAGGCTGTGCCTGCGTTATTGGAGAAAACAAAGAGGTCCGGACTCTGGCCAATCTTCCCTCACTCACCGAACTTTTGGTCGGGGTATTCTGCTGAGTCCTCCATCAAAACTCTCTTCTTGATTGCCTTCCTCGCATAGTCAACAGCCGGCATCAGTGACCATGGAGCCCGTGGGTGCTACCGCCAGCATACTCACGTTTGTGACTGTCGCATTTTCCGCTACCAAGTCAATTTACGGCGCCCTGTCAGCAATCAAAGACGGTCCTGAAGTCCTCGGCTCCATCAATGATGAGATATCCCAGCTCCAAAATATTCTTCAGAGATTATTGCAAGTGGTTTCATCAATAGCCAGACCTACCGATAAGCTTGAGCAAATGGTCAAGAAATGTAGAGATGATTTGGTCGGATATGAGGTCAAGCTTCGCCAATTCGATGTCTCGGGAGCCGATGGTCGTAGAGGCCAACTATGGCGAAAGCTGAAGCTTTGCTTTGAGGAGAAGGAGCTCGATCGGATCCGCCATATAGTCGGGAGGCAAATCCAGTTACTCACACTCCACTTGGGCACTATTCAGGACGAGCAGACGTCGCTCATCGCGACACAATCAACGGATATACTTGCACATGTTAAACGCCTTCAGCAGTCATCGTCTACAACAACACAGTCAACAAAGATACTTAACCGCATTGAGTGTCTCCAGGAGACATCACCTACAGCAACACAATTAAATGAGGTGCTTGTTTCTCTCCAACAACTCCAGCAAGATATGGCGGTATTGCAACTATCCTGTCCATCTGTTCAAACTCAAACTGGGTCATCAGGCATTCCATCAAGGGTTGTAGAACTAGACGACAAAGATTCACCGATTTCGCAGCAGATCGCTTTGGATGATACCATCGCTCGATTGATGCGGTTAATTGAAAAGAAGCCTTCGGTTATGGAGTTTGATGATGCACAAGAAATATTCGACGACCTGGAGCGGCTATTGCAGTCTGTTCGTGACGATGTACACTCCACAAAAACGGCAAATGGAAATCAGAATAAAGGTGCGGATGTCTCAAAAGAGATGAAGCTATTCACTAGTCTGATTTTCTCCGCCCAGTCTTTGAGAGTCAATCAAACCGGTAAGCTTATCTACCTTCCAACAAATTATTGGCTAACTTGAAAGAAACTATGAACTCTTTTGAGGCCACAGAGCCAAAATTTGCGATCTTTCAACAGAAAAAGCGCAGAGAAATGAACATCGGGGACAATTTCCTTACAGTCACGACAGCAAAACGACGGAGGCAACTTTTGCCCTTGCCACAAAACGCTCAAGACAACGAAGCATGCGGATGGGGGTTTCTTGGAAATCTAACCGTAAAGTCAAAGACCAAGAAAAGGATGATTAGCTTATCGGTGAACCGGGGCCAGCTTTTGTTCGATAAATTCACCAGCATAATGCCGCGAGTAATAGTTTGCCAGATTCTCCCTAACAACTCGCATGTTTTCCGAGTGGCATCAGAAGGATCGGTTCAAGATCTTATGAGATTGATAGTTGAGAACAAAGCTAGCCTTCATGACCATGATGAAGATGGGTGGTCTTTGCTGCATGTAAGTGATCACTACACATAGATCTATTATTTGCACTCTATATCAAGCTAACTATCCTGCTCCCCATCTCAGCATGCAGTCACAAATCTTCCAATATTGAGGTTTCTTATCCAGCAAGGTTTAGATGTTGACGGGGTTGGTAAAAATAAAGACCTAAATACCGACAGGCAAATGTATTCTCTTTCCAAAATCTTTCCATCTAACTCGAACTAATGATCCGTAAATACAGAAACCCTTTGACAATAGCATACATGCATGACCATGATATCAGTTCAGACGTTCTTTTATATGCTGGAGCTGATCCCACTCTCGAATTGAACGGTGATATAACGTTCTTACGTTGCATTGCTTATGATGCCCACATTACGGTGAGAGAGCCATTGCACGATGTAGAACGAGCTAATTGTTAGCATGGATAGTACAGAAATATGCTATACCGCACCATACTTACTAGCCCATTCCTATTTTCACGCTATTCAAGGGACGACGGGTATATGATGGGGAGCCTCTGTCAAAGATGGGCGGATTCCCAAGCAGGAGATTTCAATCCAGAGCAGGAGCGGCAAACTGTGGATTTCCTAATCAGCCACGGTTACGGCAAACAAAGGAAAATTGGCCTTCTTGGGTTCTTTTCGAGCAGGAAAAGATCATTGTCAAGGGTACTGGAGCGGCGAGATCTGTTGACGTATTTCATATCGAGGGGCGCTGATCCTTGCACGGCCGATAGATGGGTTGTGGCACCTTCATACCGTGCATATGGAAGCATGTGTAAGCCCTGTTCCATGACACAGTCCTCGTTAATGGGTGATCTATGGGACACTGTTCTGGACATTTGTGGTTACGACATCTCAAAGTTCCGGCGTGATTATCCACGGAAAGCAAGTTATAAAAATGGCTACAGTCGCGAAATATTCGAAGAGCTCTGGCGTGGTAGAGAGGACCGCTGCCCTTACTGGAACGATGACCCTTGGCCAGAGTTCTCACATGAAGCGGCGGAGTTCACTTTTGAGTCGAAACTAGGCCAGCGCTTGTGCGCACGTTGCCGGCATTGCTTCGATGATGGTTACGGTAACGACCCTTGTGATAACTGTGGAATTTGTCTTTTGGTCTTCCAGTACTCCTGTACTGAGGAACTCGACGTTGATCATATACACGACCGCCATTGTTCACGCTCCCGAGTCGGGTATTTCGAGCGTTCTGAAACTACTGGCTACTATGAGTTCAGGGCGAGGAGCTGTTCAGGTTTAGACTCAGATGGTGAAGAGTCTGATTACGACAACATTTCGTCCTCGCGTGATGAATTCGAAAATGCACAGTTACCGCCAGCTCAGGCAGTTACTACACATCAGAGTAATGACGATGAGGAAATCATTTCGGAAGATGAGTCAGTTGGGGGAGTCTCGCTATAGATTTATTCAAGGGATTTAGTTCTCGAAAGCTTACTAAGTAGAATATAGTTTGCTTATTACCTTCTTAATCTATTAAGTTCATTTTGAACATTATAAGCACATTAAGATACTAGGTTCTCTCGGCTGGATCAAGTTCTCAGCCATAACTCTCAGCGGCAAAGATACAAAGCTATAGGTTCTCTTCTAAGCCTTTACAAGACCAGAACATGCGATTAATGATCTGTGTTGCTGTTTGAGATAAAGAATTACAGGATATCTCACTGTTGTAAAATGTGCTACACAGTTCCAATTTGAACCACTATATGAGCTAATGCTTTCGTAGAGCACTATCTCAAAGCTATATAAACCAATTTACATTACCTTTATTGCACAAGATGAAGTTCTGATAGTTCTCATCCCTTACATGCCACGCTTTTGCCTATATTTACTCCTCTGGTTTAGTATTCTTACTCCCCAGCAATAACCCTGCTATATCCTCATACCCATGTCTGGTAGCCCATGATAGTGCTGTGTAACCCTCGTGATCCCTAATATCGATATCCACATTATAGTCCAGCAGCAATTGAACGATTGCTTTGTGCCTAGCCAAGACTGCCCAGTGCAACGCCGTCCATCCGTACCGACCCCTTGCATGAATGTCTGCCCCAATGTCCAAGAATAGCTGCAACATGGCCTTATCCCCATTCCTAGTTGCCCATAATAGCGCCGAAGATCCTTCGTCGTCCTTTGTGTCGACATCTACTTTCTGCCCCAAGAGTGCCTGGACTATTTCCTTGTCCCTTTTTCTGACCGCCCATATTAACGCTGTCGACCCACCTTTATCCATTATATCAAGACATGCTTTGTGCAGTAAGAGAAGTTGCACTGTCTCTTTATCCTTATTTCTCGCAGCCCATACGAGAGCTGTCCGTCCTTTTTTATCCATGGCATCAATAACCCCATGCTGCCCGTGCTCTAGTAAGAGTTGCACCACAGTCTTATGCCCATTTCGGGCAGCCCAGTATAACGCTGTTAATCCTGCCTTGTCTTCGGCTTTGGCATCCGCGCCAAACCTTAGCAACAACCGCACTAGAGCCTCATGCCCACTTCTAGCTGCTAGGTTCAAGGCTGTCCTTCCGGCCTTGTTCCTCATGTCAACATTTGCGCCTTTCTGAAGTAGTAATACCACGGTAGTTGCATGCCCATTCTTCGTCGCCCTACCAAGCGAGGTCCACCCATTGTTATCCACCACATTAGGATCTGCCCCATGGTCTAGCAGTAGCCGCACTACAGGCTGGTGCCCATTTATGGACGCCCAACATAGTGGTGTCATGCCATCCTTCTCCAGGCCAACATATGAAGTTCTCTCAAGCAATATCCTCACTACTGTCTCATGCCCGTTCCTCGCAGCCCAGCTTAACGGCGTCCTTCCATCATTATCTGTTGTATCAGGGTCTGCCTGGCACTCTAGCAGCATATGTACCACCGCTTTATGCCCTAAAGCTGCCGCCAATGATAATAAGGCGCGTCCATTCTTGTCTTTCAGTTGAATATTAGTTCCAGCCAGAGCCAACACCTCAGTTGCTTCTGAAAACCCATAGTTGACTGCTGTATTCAGAGCCATATCTCTGAATGCCTCTGCAATAGAGTTTGATTGCTCGCTGAGTAAAGTTTCCCTGAGCTGTGATCTTGCCCACCTTTCTAGCAAATAGGTAGCCCCATCAGAAGTGTGAATCAATTCATCGATAAACTGAGCCTTCAATCTCCCGACATAGGCATCTCCCCGGCAACGATCCAGGTGATATTTGAGATGCACCAGAGCATAGCTTGCCAGCGGCCTTTGGTTAAGATGATGAACACAGCTTACGAAATCTTGCAAATTCCACTTCCTGACATCCGAGGGTCTTGTTGCCATGTTTGCAGTGCAAAGCATGAGGTATCGGATACAGGTAATAGCCATGGAAACGTGAGCATCGTCTCCGACCATTTTGAACTTGGACATAGCTACATACCCATTAGGACGGAGAAAGAATTCGCGGACCGTTTGGTGCATAGCCTGGACTGTAGCTTTTCCTGAAGAGCTGGAGGCCCAAGTACTGATGTGCTGCCTAATTTCTAGGAAATTGCCACCGCAATGTACGATTCGTCTTTCATGCGGAATTCGTCTTTGGAACAGCTCTTCTGAGGCTAGGAATTCTGTTCCAGGGCGATCCGGAATACCAAGCGCATGGAGGAGCTCACTAACCGAAAGCGGACGGCCAGCAAACAAAACGAAACGAAACATCTTGACTCCATCTCTCTGTTCTTTCTCTGTTCTTGCAGTCATTTTATCAAGCATTCGTTGGTAAAGTTCGTCCAGCTCGGTAGGAAGACTCCTCAAAAACTCAAATATGTCTTCCTCAGCACAGCCTTGCTCATCGTAGGCGAGTAATTCCTCTCCTACCAGCTTTACCCACAAGAATACACCGTTGGCATTCTCAACCATATATCTTCTTGCCTGATCAACAAACTGTGGAAAATCCACGCGTTGTAGAAATGCACTGGCGAAGTTGAAGATATCCGATTGTGTCTCGTCCTGTAGCCGAATGAAGCTGTGAAATTCGCTAATTCGGCGTTCGAGAGCTGCGACTGGTCGACTTGCCATAAACACCTTTATAGAGCAGAATTTGGTCTCCGAACAAATGCTAAGGAGTAAATCTAGAATCTCGCGTCTGTCCTTGTCATCGGATTCGTCGACTGCATCGATGATGAGATAGAACCGTTCCTGTTCTGCGTAATCTCGTAGAGATGAAAGGAGATTCTTCAACGACAAATAGTCCCAAGATACGGGACATCCATCGCAACCGTCGCCTTCAGACAATTTACGACGATATTCACTTTGGAAGCGATGGTAAAAGAAAGCCTCATGTTGGCTCAGGATGCTGTAGAGGATCGATCGAAGCATGTTGTAGTGACTTCTTTGGGCCTCTCCTTCTCTCCAACTGTAGAAGAACGTGGCCAGAATCGCAGGTTTTACACTCAGTTCCCGCTCCAGTAAAATTTTTGCTTTCCACTTCCAGGCTTTCCTTGGAGATATAAGAGCCGGGAGGTGTCTGCTGCCAACCATTTCAGGCACTGAGTATGTGTCCAGATCCACTTGAGGGAGCCTTCATGTTCTTCTGAGATCCTACCATAACGGGAGTTATCGAAGTATAGACTAGCAAGGCAATCTTTACGTGTCAGAATCAGTCTGATGTACTAAAGTATAAGTCGGTACAGACTGACCTTTTCTCTCTTTGTCATATTCGATACACGGTAACCCGGCAAAGAGTTCCTTCAAGTCAGCTCGTGGTCGACTCGTGAGTAAAACCTTAGCTCTTGTCGTCCGTCCTAGAAGATAATCAACAAAGCCACGAACTCCATGCTTGAATTCATCTCTGTGATCTTCAATATCGTCCAGTCCGTCGATGACGATCAGCATTTCTAAGTCCTGTTCAATATCCAGAGCTGCTTGTAAAGCAACCCAATGATCAAATGCCGAGGCTTCTTCAAGCATCTTCTTTATCACTTCATGCGGGGGGTCATCGTCCTTAAAGACAGTGTCTAATTTATGGTGCCATTCGGAAATGACCTTCGGTGCCACCCGCCGTTCTTCACCCCTTTCGTGCCGTTCGGCATCTCTTTCGCGTCGTTTCACTAGTCTCTCGCGTAGGGTATGAAGAAACCCTTTCATAATGGATACTTGCTGCGTTGATGACCTGTAGATGATTTTAAACAAGAGCCTTCGAACAAGTTTAGCACTTGTCTCGTCACCTTTCTTTAATGAGCAGAAAAATCGCAGAACGCCGCGAGGTGTCCAAGTGGTATTTCCCGGTTGCGCAATGTGTGATGAAACTTCGTAGAGACCGCATTCGGGCGGCCCAGAGAGCCAAAGCCCCTTTGGAAGGCTGGATTGCACCCAGTGCTTGAAATCAATATTCTTGAAGACCCAATGAAATCTCTGCTGTTGAAAATCGATGGTGATTTTAGGTATTTCTTGGCCATGGTCCTGGTTTGAAAGTACTTCAAGAAACGGCTGTGGATCTACACCATCAATGATAGATCGTAGGAATTCCTGGTTCCGAACATTAGCAGTAAGTCCTCATTCTGATACTTAATGGGAAATAGATTGTCGTACAGATAAGAACACTCCTTGGGCTCTTTGTGTTTCTCGCACTTCGGTTTGCGGGATAATTGACAGGATCTCCTTCGCGCACAAGGCTGCGGCCGCCGACGCATAAGGCTGCCATCTCTTGTTCTTATGAGAGTCTGCATAGTCACAGATGCCTCGAATAACAAGACAGGGGAAACTATTCATGAGTCCTGCTGCTTCCATCTCGAAGCAAAGTACTCCACCAAGCGCCCGGCTAACTTGGTCCCTTAACAGACCGTCCCTCATAACCTGATTGCCAGAGGCGATGGTGCCGTAATGAACGGTACATCCTCTACTTTCATAAGCTTGCCGCCGGATCTGTCGGTCAATATCACATCTTTCACATTTGTCCCCGCCAACGTGCTCGTAGGTTGATTCAAATAATATGTCGGGTCCTGCGTTCTCAGACGTGAACACTGGTGAACTGTTCAGTATGGATAGCCAGGATGCAACACTACTCATCCCTCGCAGTTCAATGGTCTTTAATTTCGACAGTGCGTTGAGTAAGATTTCCGGTGGCGAATTCAGTGAGCCTGTTCGTTCACAAATGCGCGGTTTAACCTTTCCCATATCATACTGAACGACTCCTCCATTTCGTTTCGTTGGCTGACTAACGACGACATCCCCGAGCCGAATATCTGCTTGGTCGCTTGGGACACCGCCTCCAATTCCCACCATCAGGCCGAACCTAATCGCTGTGAAGGTTGACTTCATCCGGGCGGCGATGACAGCAGCAGAACTGGTTCCTAACTGACCTGCCGGAAGACATGCAATAACAACGTTATGGTTATTAATACAACCAAGCGTATATAGGTTGGTGTCATTGGCGTCCTGGTATGATAGGTCCTGGTACCGTTCATCTAGAATCTCCTGCGCCGCGGCGAGCTCGATTGGGAGCGCACAAACCCATCCAACCGTGAACTCCTGTAGGGGAATCTTTCTTCTACTCATTTCAGAAGCTTAAGCAACGGACGAAACATCAGTGGAAAAATTTAGAATCTTTGGAATGATTGACATGTTTCTGCCCAACTGCTGTTGGGCTCAGCCTTATGTCCTCATGCACAACAGGAAATCCGACTGCTTACAGTGATTGCAACGCGCCTAATTACATATTTGCTAAATTTGCAGCAATCCGCTTGACATAGGATTTAATATTGACACAATCTCGAGAAGGGCTTGCATATAAATATGATTGCAGTCTCCCCTGTTTCAAACCCCTGAAATGCATCGGAACCTCCCCTGGACTTTACAGCTATAGATTCTCTTTAAAACATTTATATAATTAAAATAAGTAATTTAAGATCTATCTTACTATTTAAGATAAAGTATTATAGAATATCTTATAGTTATAAAATATACTATATAACCTTTATTTTAAAGTATAATATAATCTGATATTTATATAAAGTACTATCTACTAGAAGTAGGTAATTATATTATACTAGGTTACAGCTATAATTGCTAAGGTGAGAGCGACTGCTTGATGATGGTAAATGTGCTTCCACTAGAATGAGAATCCATCTATGTTTAATGAAGCATTTAATACAAACAGCCGTCCTTGTCAACACCATTACTCTACTTAAACCATCTGTTGCGATGCTCGCTACTCAACTTCCTACCTGTTTGACAGGTAGGACGGTGTTCATTGAACGCCGTGAATGCGGGGTCACATCGGCAGTTGCAGACGGCCGATGTCTATACCGTTGTCTGACCATATCCCTAGCTAAATATAGGTTAGTTTCTATCCTGGTAAAGACTGCAGATAAAAAGATCGCCTGTGTGATGATATAATGATCCCCATTCGGAAAATGCGGAGTAAACTCAAGAGCAATACGCTCAGTCTAGGGGAGGAAAGAAAACTTAGAATCTTAATCCTAAATGATAAAAAGCTTAGGTAAATTTGTATAAATTTCGCATATACTTACTACCTAAATTTAAGGCACCTTTGCTAAGCTTAGGATACATTTTGCCAGAGTTTATTTTGACATCCTATATTAAGGTCTGGTGTTTTCATGCTCCTAGAGGTCAGCACCATTGAAAATATGAGTCTCCACGATTGGCCCATCTCCACATTCCGATCGATTCAAGCGATGTGGGGCCAGATAGCCGGTCTTCAACCCCGCAAAGAGCTTCCGGGAATTGTTTATAACGGAGAGCCGCCCGGGGGGGATTATGGATGTATCTGTTGTTTTAACACCCGAATGAGACCTCTGTATATTGAAAGCTTAGTTACACAATTGACTAAAGCTCCCAAGCTTCTCGTTTTGAGTCCAAGTCTCCTAGTCCGTCACCATGAACCGCTTGTCCCATCTCGTTTCGGACTTCTCTCGGGTGGCCCTTCTCGCCGCGCTCTCACTATCGTTATGCCTACTTTATCTGTCAATCAAAGTCAGTCACCGCATCTTCAGCTCATATCAGCGTCTAATCAACAGCGTTGCAGATCATCGGTCGTTTACTCTTCAGTCCACTTCGACATGTCCCCGGACCATCCTCTACCAAGCTCACTGGAGCGACAGTTTGGTTGAGTACCATACAAGGCCGTCGCGTTTACGTATGTGCATCTTCTTTCGTCCTGTTCAAGCTTATACTGATACAACAGTCCGAATACAGAAGCTAGAGGAGTTACATAAGAAGTACGGTCCTGTGGTACGAGTTGGTCCGAATGAGGTATCAATCAGTGACTGGCGACACTTGCGCACCATCTACCTAAACACCAAGGGAATGATCAAAAGCCCAGACTTCTACGAAGCTGCTACCTTTGTGGGTAAAGACAATATTTTCCAAATGATGTAAGGTCGTTCTTCTATCCATCACGTCGTCTTCTTTTCTCTCCTGGCTTGTATTGCATGGTCCGATGTCTAACTTGACATGGTAGAAACGTCCAACAACATGCTGCGCGAAGAAAGATGAGTAGTCCCCCATACTCACTGCAGTCTGTTGCGCTGCTAGACCCCTTGATCAAAGGAAATGCCCAACGTCTTGCCCGACGGCTCAAAAGCGGTACATCATCTCCTGTCGATGCCTATAGCATGTGCGGTCTCTTCAGCCTCGAGGTAATCTGCCAAGCTGGCTTCGCAAAAGACTTTTCCAACGACACCAATGGCGCAGCTGCTCTCAAGCTCCTCCAAGCAATGGATGGAAGCGCACTCACCCTGTTATTTGACGGCGCTCTTCCTCTCGTAGCCAGATTTGGCATTGGTAGCAAATTGCCCGGCGTGATTGGCGACTCATATCGTAAACATGAGTACTGGCGGGAGAAGTCTTATGAGATGGTGGATCATTTTCTTGAGAAAAGTGCCGATGATGAGAAGTATCTGCTTACGCCGCTGGCTACTGGAATTGATGGATACCTGGGGCGCAAACTTACTCATGAGGAGCTTGTTGAGGAAGCTATGGGTTACATGTTTGCTGGCTCAGGTACAACATCATCGACATTGACATATCTGCTGTACGAGCTCTCAAAGCCGGAGAACGCCGCTATCCAGGAGCAATTGCGCGCAGAAGTGCTGGCAATACCTGGCGATGATATTGTGGCCATCAGAAACAACGCGTACATCAACGCAGTCATCAAGGAAACCTTCCGCGCTCATCCAACAATCATCTCGACCATCCCCCGACTACTCACCGAGCCCTTGACTCTCGGTCAGTACACTCTACCATCTGGCACAGTCATCGGAATGCAGAATTGGCTCCACCACCACGATGCCTCCGTCTTCCCGGAGCCAGAGAAATTCATCCCTGACCGATGGCTTAACGAAACTTCCGAGATGAAATCCGCTCTTACACCGTTTAGTCTTGGTAAGAGAAATTGTATCGGGCAGAATCTAGCGTGGCAAGAGCTTTATTGGGCTGTAAGCGAGGTCATGCGCTCCGGTTCAAGGTTTAGAGTTGCGGATGAAATGAAAGATTGGGAGATGGAGATGGAGGATCGGTTCAACATCGCCCCGCGGGGGCGAAGGCTCATGCTTACTGTTTCCCCAGTCGATTAGGAGAAGGTCATTATTGGAAAATCGGATAATTGAATGGATGTGGATGGCGACTGACCAACTTCTGCTAAAGTAACACGAGGTTGAGTGTTTTTGAGGGTGCGCCAAGCCGCCAGACTGTCTTTTATCTAAATATCTGATGCAAACAATCACCATGGTTTCAATGCATGTGACACAGGTTAAGAGAGTTGATGCCAATGTTTATGATCAGGATTGAAGAATTATATTATACAGGCCGTGTGTTTCAATCATGCATTTTGAACGCCAAATAACTGCCCAGTAGACAAATAAAATGTGTAGTACAGTCTCGAAGTCGCATTATTCTCAGCGTCAGGTATCATGTCGCTTCCCCCAGTCTATCATTCTATTCCCTTTCATTACGCCTTCTGCTTCGACACCGCACGGTATCGACTAGGCAACCCGACATTACTCCTCTCCGCCGGCGGGATACTCTGCGCATAGCCTCCATAAGCCGGCAGCGCAGGCTTCACCGCTGGAGCCATGCTCCCACTAGTCCCCGGTCGTTGCGGAATACTGCCCCATGAATTATTAGACTGATGCTGCGCGCCAAACGTCATTGTTTGTATAAACTGCATTTGGTCCTGGATGCCCTGCGGTATTTGCTGATGTATTTGCCCAGAGGGCGTTTGCGGCCTCGATAGTTGATGTGGCATTGGCGCGCCATACGGTGAAGGCATGTATGGTGATGCACCCGTCAAAGCAAACGGGTTCTGTGGTGCTTGAAAACTAGCACTTGGCGCCCCCCGTCGCGAAGCTTTAGCGCGCTCCTCATTCGCAATAACGCTGATCAAACCGCCCGTAAACATGGGCTTCTTTGTCTGGAAGGGATCTTGAAACGGGTCTTGGAAAGGATCTTGAGGAAGATTTGTTGCAAAGGATGGTAGGCGGAGATGTGAGCCGTTGTCGGGCTTTCCCTGCGCCGAACCGGGTCTCATCATGTGTTGTTGCGCGGAAGCTCGGAGATTGGGGTTCGATCGAACACCCGCCAAGCGAGACATGCGATCCCGTTGGCTCCGAGCTTGCAACATCGCCAATGGGACATCATCGTCGCTATCGTCGTCAGGAATGTTCATCCAAGGACCTTGTATGGAGGGAATGCGAGAGTGTTCTATTGAAGGGGGTCCTTCGGTCGTCTTCATCATTTGTTGTCGGTACCCAGCGAGGTGAGCTTCTTGACGTTTTCGCTGATCATTTTGCTTCTTTGGCTTGTTGTCGTCATCGGAATCGTAGTTGATATTCTCTTCTTCATCTTCGCTGTTCTGTTCCTCTTTTCGCTTTCGGTAGGCTTCTTGTGTCATGACACTAGGTGTTGGGGAAGTGCGGCCTGGCATTATGGCGGTGTTTCGGGGGAAAGGTGTCAGAGTAATTAGATGGTCTAGCTGTTGAAGTCTGGGGAAGATAATGACACAAAGAGTGGGGTGTTAGAGGTCATACAAGGTCCCCGTGGGTTAAAGGATAGAATGACAGTGAAGACAGTATGATTTGAAGTGCTGCTGTCCTTTTTGTATAGAGTTCGTAATGGACATTGTCATAGAACTGCCGGGGCTTTACTAATTCTACGGGGCTGATCCCTGCTCACAATCAGGTACTAGCGCCCCGTAGCTAACGTCAGATTGATGACCAAAGCGGGTATGGCTTCCTCTCTGTGCAGTCCTCCCCCAATAACTCATGATCCAAAGCTGCAGACAGAAACTTTGTGGCTGGCTGCGTGTTTAAATAGTTTCTACAGAAGCAACATTTCCTCCCAACAGAACCTTTGCCTTACTGTCTTCGTGTCTGTACACGTATTCCTGTCTCGTGTTTTTGCTGACGGTCGGGACGTCCGGGTTCAGCTTAGCGCTTTGATGACATGCGTTTTTATGCTTCGGGGAGACCGTTACATAGCGCATTGAGGCTTAACTGGCCCGTCCCCCTCCCTCCCTCCCTCCCCGCCCCCCCTTTTTTTTCCTCATCCCAAGTCTTGGGACTTTGGCTCCAGCCAGGGTTCGGATAATTTTAGAAACGCTGATAGTTTCAGCAGACTTCTCAGTTTGGTAATATTTTTCTTGCCCTCTTGCATTGTTCAGTGCAAATTTGATGTCTGCGTATTTTAACGCCTCTCATCTCGATACTAAAGTTCCAATGCAACAGAGTTTTCACTTGCAAAGCTTATTGCATTTCCTCGTAAATGGACCAGGGGGAAGTTGGGCCCAGAACTTTGCAGGTCGCGGGGCAAAAACCTCGTATAGATAAAATCGGAGCAAGATATTTTCCGCTAATCAATTGGGCCCCGAGATGGGGCTCGACTGTTATTTTAAGGCTGGGAATGACAAAGCAGGAATTCTCCTTTTCTACGCCAAGCTTTCTATTTATATCATCATCCAATATTTGGCGGAGACATCTATTTTGAACTCGCTTCATCTTGTTTTCCCGTCAAAATGCCTGCAATATTTCTATCTTTATCATTGAGATTTGGAGAGCTCCATTTACAGTGGCATTAGGCTCGGGTTGACTGCCGATCGCGACGTGATGGCGGGTGGAATGACATGCTTCTCCAGAATTACGGAGTAGTGATGCAAGCTTATCCTTATCGCGATGACAAGTACCCTAGAGAAGCAAAACTTACCCCGTTTCATTAAATATCGTAGCCATGCTATACATTTGTTTTTAGATGCATCGGTGTCCTTTCTTTTATTAAATCAATAGAGTAGTATTTACCAAAGAGATAGTTCATGGTAAGAGCATTTATATTGCTGGCATAATCACTTGAACGGTCATAATTCAACGTTGTCCGTTAACCCAGCCGTGCTTACCCTGGCATATCAGTAAAACACATGCACGATCACTTCAAGGAATCCGATCGTCTGATGAGGAATATGTAGAACATGACAGAAAGTGTTTTTTACTTCCAGATTCAGGAAGCTTACGCAGTCAATCAATTCATCAGTGCGAGAGGACAATCGGATGGATGCCAACAATGCACGACCCGCAGCGACACGACGTTTAGGTTTTCCTACCACGACCTCAAGACGATCTTTTCTCCATCCTCCATCTCGGACATTACTCCGTCCGAATTTCTTCCCTCTAGCTATATCATAAATTGTCGAATGTACCGGCAAGCTGTCAGATCTATTTTTTTCTTCCAGAATTCTGCTGGAGCAGTGGACTTTTTGTCGTCTCAATTGGCCCGGTTGACATCACTGCCAGCGACGATTGTTACCATTAGGCCTGCTGACAAGCAAATTTTGGGCGCGCTTCGATAGAGTGCTATCCAATACTTAATCGATATTCGTTGCGACATTTGAGTCTAACTGATTCAGCCAGCTATGGGACTGATTGCCTGTATCTATGGAGAGCGCGAGTATCAATTCTTTTGCAGGCGGCCAGCCGCAATCAACCTTCCAAGCTACTCAACTATCTTGAAACAGTTACAACTCTAATCATGGCATCATGATCACGCTACAAGCTTCCACCAGAATAGGCCTTCATCCTACCCAACCCAGATCCGGATTTAGTCCTTTCCAGGGATGTTATTGGAAGAGACCTAGACCGAATCGATGTGCCGTCTCTTGATGTTCCTATTAGTCGCATCATAGCATCGACACCTCTTGATTTTCGCCTGGGTGTTAAGGTCTTTGGATGTCCGAGATCGACTCGGAGACTGATGAGAAGCCCAACCCCCCGCCCGATGCTAGTACTAGCTACGCAGGTTGGACTAAAACCATCGGGTCTGGTACTCCCCCTCTTCAGCGAGATACAATAATAGGAGGCGCGGTTATGCACAATATATGTCTTCCTTCTCCAGATGATGACATAAATGGCTTCGCCGACCTTCCCGTCCAGTCTGTTTGAGCAAACCAACCTCAAGGCGAGGAGAAGAAGGACAAAAAAAAAAACGAAAAGAAAATGCTTGCGAGATCTAAAATGGAAGACTTCGTCTTATCTAGAGACATGCATCGCATTTGGTGGATAAGTGCTTGGTTGCCTAGTTATAGAAGTATAAAGGTGAGCCAATCTATCCGTCTTGATTGTAGACCTCCTTAAGCCGCGTTCGTGGTTATTATACATGCAACATGACACCTGAACCCTTATTAGAGCTTCAGAAGGATGCCGTTGATATTCCCGAGGAACAGAAAAATAAAGAGGATAAGACCAAACAACCGAACGGGAAGATGGCCCCCTTTTTGACGAACCATACACACAGACAAAAGATAGCAAAGATAATGAAGGGGAGGACGATAAGGACGAACCTACCAGAGACAAGATCAAACTAAACACGGAAGCCTTTGGGGAAATTGTCCCCCCCCATTAACTGCTCCAACCTGAAGAGCCTCCCCGCGGAGATCCTGGAACTCACTTACTATGAGAAGAAGAAGAAGTTTCTCTTTAAGCCTGGTCTGCGACTTGAAGTGGACGTCTTGTTCAAGGATAGCCCTGCTTGGGCCGGTGACGCCTTGAGAAAGCTCTTTGGACCCAACGGACCGCCCAAGTGCATTCATATGACCCCATTTGGCGGACACGTGCAAATGGTCTGAGAGGCCTAAGATTGGGAACTTGATCCTCAAGGATACCTTCCGCCACTTGCTCTCAAGGTCTGGGATCTCATGAACTTTAGGACGCCGTGTATTGACATAACAGCCAACCAAGCGACAAATAACAAGCCATCGGAAGATGAGCCCGAAGGCAATAAGCCTGGAGATAGAAAGCTGGAGGGTGAGACTGAGGCGATCACGATACTGGCAGCGTAGATACCAAGACGGCCAAGCTCAGTTGATTCCAAGCAACTTAACAGAATCCCGACGATAGTAGTAGTGAAAATGAGGGAAGGGAAGATGAAGATGAAGATAAGGTCCCGACGACAAAGCGACAGAAGAAGAATCCCAGTTCTTTGGTTTGACTTTTCGGAACCATGCTCGTCACCAGCGTTACATATGTAAATGTCCGGCCAGATGTTAACTATTGAATTTTGGGAGATTTTATTGCTGCTGAAGAGGAAATAAGAA